CTGTGGAATGCTTTATTTTCGCTGGAATTAATTTTCGATGAAAAGGCTTTTTTGGGCGTTTTGTATGGAATTAATTTTCACTGATTTTTGATGAGTTTAATGTGAAATATGGGAAAAAAAATATATTCGCTGGATTTTATTTTCACGGAATCATCCCTTCAGCGAAAATAGCGAAAATAAATTCCAAGCCAAAATAAAGTATTCTACAGTATATCAGCTTTCGCATCGTATAACTCCATGATCTACATCTAAACAGATTTTAAAAAAAATGGACGTACTTGCAGCATCTAATTAATCTGAACAGATTAATCTGACTATGTAAACTGCAATCGGATTAAAACCTGTTGTATTGTACGGCCTGTATTTTTTTACTTAATTTATTTTATTTTATTATTACTTTTTAATCACTTCGTATTATTATTATTATTATTATTATTATTATTATTATTATTATTATTATTATTATTATTATTATTATTATTATTATTATTATTATTACTATTATTACTATTATTACTATTATTATGTTTTCTAGTATGTCCTTTTGATCAGCTGTTTTACAGTCCAAATGCCGAGTCTTACCCAAAGACCTGAGCCTAAAAGGAAGGATGACACAAAACGATAACCATACACACACAACGTACCAAATCATTACCAACAACACGTAGAGAGTCTGAATTGATAACGCTTTTCTCAGCAGGTGTGCAGTACTATCAATTTTCTGTATCTCTTGCAGACTTGGGTTTCCAGGAATTTTATCAACATTTTTAGGGTGTTTTTGTTGACAAGACCATGGATGTACTAACAGTACATTCATGACAAGACCAAGTGCTCCAACTACTACGGGTACGATCATTGTTTTTAAGTGCCACATTCTTTCAACTTCAATCTGTAAGTCTTAGTACTTAGACAGTTTGTCAAGTTCCTTTGCTGATACATTTCTGTCTGTAGGCACTGTCATGTCAATCATCATACAGGTCTTTTCATTGTGATTCTTTATTAAGATATCTTACAGATGTCTGTAAGCTTGGATGGTTCTGTCAGTATGTACACAGCCGATACCCCCCCCCCCCCCGCTCATTGGGAGTGCGTACAGTTGATCATAGTTCCTGGGCTCCCTGTGATTAAACTGAAATCAAATGTGTGAAATACTAAAAATACTCTCAGCACTACAAAAACATTCGCTCCATAGTTATATGTTTATAATGTTTTCAAAGAGGTTTCTATTAGCTGATTAAGGTAGCGAAGAGAGAAATTTTCATTTTTTGCTTGATTTTTTTAAAAATTTATAAAACAGTTACTTTAGACCTTGATACATCATCCCAGCTTTTAAAAAGATCAGAATTTCGCAAAGACGCGGCTCAAATTGGGTTTAAACATTATCACAAATAACTACAACTGCTGTGTCGTGGATATTTGCATAATGTTATCTTTGGGACGGTTCTCAAGTGACGTTGCTGCGCTCTGTGCTCTTTGATTGGCTGGCTGATTCAGAAGTTATTGACATTTATAAATCTTATTTTATTGTAATAAAACAAAGCAGTAAGTTTATTCTAGAAAAATTCATTTAATCAAATAATAAATAAACTTATATTTATGAAGATGAAGGGATTGCCTTTGTTGCAAGGAGAGTCGATGTCATATTTGAGGTAAGTTTCCAGTAGATTACGAATCCGAACTGTTGAGAATCAAGCAATCTTAATACGAAGACTACTTTCATTCCCGAAAGTCAGTCGTAAAGAAAATGGCTGAGAACCATCATAATCATTTGGAAGTTCCGTCTGTTCTTGTGGATGATTACGATAATAACAAAAGATCAGTAAATGTGTCGTCGACGGAGTTAGGTACACCAAAGAAAAGAAAATTTAGAGATGTACGTTCACGTCGGGGAACATCAATATTAGTGTAATCTCGCAAACAAACACCACACCCCCACAAAAAATAGGTCACACATAAGTTCACGATCTTTACATTTTTGATTGCCAGTGTATTTTGTTTTTATACGACGACCAACCAGTGAATGTCTTAGTGCTGTTTTTTTTTTTACTTTCTGCCCTTGTATAAAAATGAATACGCAAACTTCGACTCGTGTATGGAAGTTGAAATCTAGGTCAAAGGTCAAGACTAAATATGTTTTGTTTACTTGTGTATTTTTTTTTTCAATTTTAATAATTATGTATTTTTTTTCTCTTGACAGGCCAACATCTACAAAGCATTGGTAGTTGCTGTCTCGTCAAGGGCTTTATTCAACGTCGAAGATGAACATAAGATATCTTATGAAAAAGGACTGCAAGAGTTCATAAGATATCAAGTTGAACATGAAAATGTACCATGTAAGCCTGGTACGGCGTTTGCCTTCATAAAGGTATTTGATTATATATTGTTTTCTCAAGTTTTTATGTTTTGAGATGAATTTTATGTTCACTTCGGTCCTTGTGACTTTTTTTCCAGTAATTTTGCACGAGGGACGAGATCTGCTCACCAACCTCAGGCTTGCATCGAAGGCGCGACCTTAATAGGGAGTCTGGGAGCATGCTCCCCCTTGAAAATTTTGAAATATAGACCCTCTGAAATGCTAATTCCTGCATTTCCAGGTGCAAATTTTGCTGACAAAAAGGGTTTCAGCTTGATTTTAGAGGAGCGACCCCCCGCAAACATTTTTTTTTTTGCCGCCAAAAGTTCTTTATATTTTTCTTGTATTTGGGACTGAATGGATGTCACTGGTATTAGTGCATTAAAGCATGGATTTTCTCTATTCGTAGAACATGCACTTACAGAAATGTGTGTGGTGATTAAAACAACAGTCTGCTAATCGTATTCACTATGCTGTTATCACTCCCAGGCTTTGCAGTACGTGAATGAAAAATTATTAGAGTTGGACCCCCAGGAAGAGGAAATATTTGATGTGGTTTTAATGACGCAAAACCATGGCGATACATCAATAAGACTGATAAACTCAATCAATCATTATGGTGAGTAATCAACAAGAGATGTGATTTCATAACAAGATTATTATTAGTTGACAATTATTTAAAATGCATCGTCAGACGTTAATGTATGGTAATACCTGTTCTCAAAACAATGATCTATTTCCAATCAAAATTAATTTTGAAGTACTGTAAAATACCTAAAGCTGGGGAGTCATCACCTGCACATGCACCAGGTCGCCATAGTGTGTGATTGTTTACAAACAAGCGTCTACCCATGAGCCTTTGCGTTCGTTTTTAGCGTGTGTTGTTATCGTTGCTTGGGACTCAATTACCGCGCGTGCGCAGGTGACTACCCTCTAGCTTTAATTTTCGCTTGTAATTTATTTTCGCTGAAAAGAATGTTCAGTGAAAATAGAATCGGCGAATATACCTTTTTCCTATGTTTTACATTCAACTCATGAAAAATCAGTGAAACTAAAATCCATACAAAACACCCATAATGTTAATTCAAGCTAAAATAAAGTATTTCACAGTAAATAGAAAGAATGATGATAATTTTGTATTTGTTATATCAAGTGTGTGTTGTACAATAAAGAGTACAAAAAAATTGTGAAGAAGAATTAACACAATTTGCATGATGATCACAAAACCGCAAGACAAACCTAAACTGATTAGTGTGTATCTCATTGTTGTTTTATCCAACATGGTTAGAAATACAGTTGATTAATTAGACTGTCGACAGTCCTCAGGCCTAATTTGTTAGTATACTAAATCAGCAAACACCAAAGTAGTTTGCGAGTAATGCCGCATTTCAGCAAAGGCCGGAGGCCTGAGGACTGTTCACTTCTGCAATCATTCTCTGTTCAGTACCAGTAGGAAACCATGTAATGTTGTGTGAGGGCGTTTACAAGCATTAACAGTCCTCAGGCCTCTGGCCTTCGCTGAAATGCCTGCAGTATTTCTTGCAAACGCCTTCAGCATTTGCCGATTTATTGCATATGACTACCGGTATACACTATTACTACAGGTAACATCTGAGCAGAGTGAAACGACTACTTGCCGATGATATCACGAATGATGGGTACATTGAGTGTAAAGGAATAATATTATGATTATTTCCCCAATAAGCACAGTGGGATGTTTACAATAGTGAACAATATTTTGAACACTTGTCACCGTATATAATTAATAAAATAATAATTAATGTCATTCACTAGGAGAGAATCCAGATCTACACTGACAATGATACTCTGTCCCAAGCTGATTCACCCGCATTTCCACAATTGGGTTTTGGTTCCCACTGAACTTGTGCATGAAATTACGATATTAGCTGCAGACAATATGGGCACCAATAACTGTTGAGTTGAGTCATATGAAAAAAGGAAACAGGAGGTGAAATGGTTAATTTGTAGTCCATTTGTCAGTACTTAGGTCTTGTATACTATGCCACATCACCAGGTTACAGCATAGGTAACCATGGAAATTTGAAAATGCCCATTGGCCAATACAAGAGGCTGCTGTGGTACAAAACATAATATATATTTTATATTTTGATCAATACTTTTGTTAGGAATAAATAGCAGAATGATTTAAAACATCAATTATACCGGACACCATGTTGTTTCGTAAACCTACTTGAACGGTTAGCTGGTTTGCTGACTGTTTTGCAAAGTAGGTTTACGAAACCATATGGTGCCCAGTGTAAATCATAACATGGAATTTTGATTCCATCCAGGTTATCAGGCCAGGGTCAGAGGTCACATGCAAAATAAATTAATAAACCTCCGTTTTCATTCATTTTTCATTCAGAACTAAAGATTGAGCGTGCCACTTTGTCTGGGGGTTCCAACCCTATAGAATATTTGAAAGCTTGGAATACATCCTTGTTTTTAAGTGCAAACAAAGAGTTAGTGAAGGAAGCCCTTGAAAATGGTAAGTCACAAAATTTTGATGAAATGCACACTTCACTTTGTCCTCAATTTATGTTGTCATTGTATCCCTCATTGTGTTTGATACGATAACATGCGTAAAAAGTGACCAGATGACCTTTATGAAATGTTGACTCTGTGAATGCCCTAATAGTCATTACATCAGTAATGTTCACACACTTCTGTATTAGGTTGCCTACAATGTTGTAAAACTGATTACAATTTGAACAATGTTTTTATATTCACTAGACAGTATATTACAGCCAAAACAAGGTCGACCACTCGCGTTGGAAATAAATAGAACGCGTTGTGACACAGTCTCACCAGCCTCTTTCACTCACGCAATATAATTATGCTATTTCCCAATGCACTTACATTTAATACATTGACTGACAAAAAACATCACAAGAAAAATGTAAATCAGGCTTGTAATTACTAGTAACTCAAACGCAATATTCATCACTGTAAAAGTGGGTAAATTTGAACCAGCCAGCTCATGACCAGAGACGTCCGATCGTCTTCGTTGATAACTCGCCAATTCACTACAATCAATTACCGTCATAGACAGCCATACAATCACTCTTCTTTCATCTCCGCCTCGTCGGGAATGATTCTGAGCGGCTCTGCCTGGCTCTTTTGCTTTTTCCTGTCCGGGTTTCTAGTGTGGGTCATTGCCGCAGCTGCGGGATCCGACATTCTAGCTGGTAGGATAAGTTTTTCTCGTCTTTTTACCCTTGTGTCGTTTTCCCCTTTGTGTGTTATGCTTTTCCACAACAAAGAAATTAAAACCCGGCATCACCACGTAACCACTTTTTGGTTTCATGGCGGCACCTTTTACAACTGTATTTCGTTTCCCTCATGCATGTCGTCTTTTATTTACAATGTATTTAGAAATGGATAGATGCACTGGCAATGCCAGAAGCTCGCCGCCGGTATTATCCCCTCAGTTTTTGAGGCGGGTCTGCAACCATTGTACACAGAACTTGCAGGACTGGAACCCACATGCTAAATGCTATCGATGTATTACTTGCGTACGGGGTTCGGGCGTTTGCCCAGAGAATATTTGCTATCACTGGGGTTCTGAAGCCTGGGATTCTTTGCAGCAGTTTGTAAAGACTGCCGAGACTGACCACGTTGCTCACTCGCGAAAAGGTCGCGTGGCAGGTGGAATGGGTATGGGTGAGTTGTGCATTGGCATGAGTGAGAAGTCCTCGCGCTCGGCTACCGGTACTCGTATCGGGATACCAAGGAAAAGGCCCGATGGTGGAGGTACCGACATATTTCGGTCTTCCCCCGCTGATCAGAGGGCATCTGCACAGTCTGTTCTTTCAGGCAGTGGGTTACCCGACTTTACCGGCAACAGCGAGGCTGTGCCCCTAGAGGTCTTTCCTCCTATGGGGCCCGCCCAGGGTCCCGTTGTGGAACCATCCACGCACGGCGCCGGTTTTGCCTCTGAAATAAGGGCGTTGGTCGAAGGTCTGTCGGGGCAGATTGCGTCCCTGGCAGGCTGGGTAGACCAAATGCAGTCGGAGCGAGCTGTCTCCACTGCGGCCTCCCAGCCGGCAAGCAGGAAGAAACATAGAAAGCACCGTTTGCATTCTAGACACGTCTCTTCAGGGGAACCCCCCGTTCCCAGCTGTGACCCCTCCGCTAACTTGGAGGAGGCCGAGGCTCAGGCTAGTGACACCGGGTCTCCTCGAGGACCTCGGACACGAAACACCAGCGGGGATGCTGGTAGCCAAGGCTCCGTTTTCGGGGCAGGACATACATTATAAAAGAGTCCGCAATGCGTAATGACTCAGTGAGCCACGCCGTTGGGGTGATGCGGAATATTATCAGTCCAGGTGACACGATGTATATTCCCCCACCCTCGATCCTAAAGCAACCACTCACGGTCGCTTCTACGCTGATGGGATCGCAGGCGCGGGGTTCCAGATCAACGACGTTGAGGGGCGGTCGTTGGTCAGCCGCAGACGAGGTAACGCCAAAAGCCCCGGGCTGGAGTAATCTTTTGCATAACCATTTTCGCTGGACCAAACGCTACCCTATCGGGGCAATTTCGGATTCGGACCCCAATTCGTGGGACGAAACCAGAAGCCCCTGACAGGACCCCAAGGCTCCTTCCCCAGACCCCGGTACCACAAATTTCTGTTTTGCTAACCGGGTAAAGGGGACGGCCACGTTCCATGGTCATTTTCATCGACCCAGTCTGAGACTATCCAACACGCCCTGAGGGCAGAGTTGCGACCCATCAATTTCCTAGAATTCGTGGCCGCCACACTGGAGTGCATTCTTGTGCGCGCCCAGGACTCTGAGACTTTAGACGCAGAACGCACTCGCCTCCTAGACCAGGCGAAACAGTTTATGGTAGGCCACCGCACGGCTATGTGTGATATCCTCCAGTGTAATATGGCTCTCTTGGCCGGGGCTACTACTGTGCAGCGGGACGCGGTTTTCGACGCGCGTGTTTTCGGCGGCGAACTGAGTCAGGGAGTACGCCACTGCCTCAGTTACGCAGACTGGACATCGCCCACCCTCTTTGATGGGGAGATAGCGGGTGCAGTCGCTGAGCTTCGGGGTGTAACAAACCAAATGGTCCAAGTCAAATCCGCTAGCCAGTTGGCCACTGCCAAGGGTAAACGGAAGGCGCCCCAAGCACAGAAAACGCCCTAGGACTAGCTCCGCTAACCAGAGTCAGCCAGGGGGCAAGCACTCACACAGCCTTCCGCAGGAGGGAAGAGTAGCAGCGCGCCCCCGGGAAAGAGAGGACCAGGTGGTAGCTCCTCCTCCTCCTTGGACGGTCGTCAACCCCGACAGCGGGGGAAGCATGTTTGACGCTTACCTCTGCGGGGGGCTGGTGGTATTATGTTTGGCAAGGGATCAGGCTACGACTTAGTAACCCCATTGATCTCCGGGGAAGCTCACCTCACAGAAGAAGAGACCCCCCCCCTCCCTCTTGCTACCGCCGAACCCATGGCCACAGATCCCTGTCGCACGCAGATTGCGCCGGTGCATTCTGGCTTGGAGACAGCGGTTAACCGATCCCTGGACGCTCCAGGTGGTGACACTCGGTTACAGAATACAACTGACATCTCCACCGTTGGGGGCACTGCCAGGGGATCCCCGCAAGGCGGAAGCAATCAGACAGAAAGTAGACAGTTTGCTAAAAAAGGGCGCCATACACAGAATAGTTCAGCCGGCGCTAAGTCCGGGCTTCTACTTAAATGTATTCGTAGTACCAAAAGGTACAGACGGCTGGCGTCCGGTTCTGGACCTAAGCAGACTAAATCAGTATGCTTCTCGATCGGTTCTGCATGGAGACACCATCCAGTGTCCTACTCTCCATTCACCGGTTCAACTGGCTAGCCTCTTTAGACTTAAGCGATGCATACCTGCACATACCAATGCACCCAGCGAGTTGCCCTCTCCTTTGATTCGCCCACATGGGCCAAGTATTCAAATTTCGGGTGCTCCCCTTCGGGTTATGCACAGCGCCCTACGTGTTCACCAGAGTGATGAAACAGGTAGTACTGCTGCTCCACCAAATGTTGGTACACATCAATCCGTACCTAGACGACTAGTTGTTACACAACCCAGACAAGGGGTTGTTAGCCAGACAAGTAAGGCTAACGCAGGATTTACTCCACCAGTTGGGCTTTCTAGTAAATCAGAAAAAGTCCCATCCCGACCCGACTCAACAGTTGGTGTTTCTGGGCATGGAGTTCGACACAGAGGTAGGCCTGGTTCGCCCATCTCAAGCGCGTTGTCTAGCGCTAAGCAACCTAGTCTAGTCACCGTTCCCTCAGTGTCCCTCTGAGAACTAATGCGGCTCATCGGAATGATGACCTCCGTTCGAAGGGTAGTTCCCCAGGCCGCACTACACAGCCACCCGACCCAACGCTTGTTATTGGAACACCAAGCTCACCTACGGGAACTAGACAGGCGAAGGAAACCCTGTCCTGGTGGTCGTCACTGACCAACCTCGGGCAGAGGGTCCCCTTGGACCCACTCGTCACAGCTATGACTCTGGTAACAGACTCCTACTTCCAAGGGTGGGGAGCGCATGGAATATGCCCAAGGAATATTGCCCCCGCAGTGGGTTCGGGACCACCATATAAACTAGCTTGAGCTGAAAGCAGTATACCTAGCACTATTACGCTTTCTACCTGAAGTTCGAGACCACAGAGTCCTGCTCCGCACAAACAACACAGCGGTGGTCCCCTACATCAACAAGGGGGGGGGGGCGTTCCCCATCGTTGTCGATCCTAGCAGAGCAAATTCTCCTGGTGCCTGGAATACAATGTGGAGCTAACCGCACACCACCTTCCAGGAGTGAGGGACGGTCTGGTAGACGCCCTTTCGAGGCGGCTCCGTTTTCAGAACACGGATGGCAGATACCCCAGTGGGTAGCCTCCAGGCTGTTTTGGCTGTGGGACGGTCCAAAGATAGACCTGTTTGCCGCACCCCAGAACGCCAAGCTCTCAACGTACGTAACACTCCTGCCAACACCAGGAGCCTGGGCCGTGGACGCCTTATCGATCCCGTAGTCCCACATGGATGTGTACGCTTTTCCTCCCTTCCCGCTAATTCACCGGGTACTGGAGAAACTTCGACAAGAGCCCACCTGCATATTAACTCTGGTGGCGCCCAATTGGCCGACCAAGGCCTGGTTTCCGCTCCTGCTGGAAATGATAGTCGAAACACCAGTAGTGCTTCCGGACATACCGGACTTGCTGTCCCAACCGGACGGCGCACTCCCAACAAGCCCAGCAGTGTATCACTCATGCATGGAGGCTCTCAGTAGACTCGCGCAGACGAAAGGTCTATCTAAGTGGGCTGCCAACGTCCTGGCCAGGGTGAACAGGGATTCCACCAACGCTGCCTACAACTCGAAATGGCGAGCATACACTAATTGGTGTAGTGGAAGGGAGATTGATCCATGCCATCCCTCTATCGGCCAGGTAGCAGACTTCTTTGTCCAATTGTTTGACGAAGTAGGTTTGTCCTACGCAGCAATCGTTGGCTACAGGTCTTTGGGGTCAAGTCTAGCCGATTGTCCTATTATTAACAGACTGTTTACTGCTTTCCATAATCAGAGGCCGAGGACCCGTATAAGGAAACCGCCCAATTGGGATCTGTCAGTTGTTTTAGCAGCCCTAGGCAGACCACCTTTCGAGCCCCTCTTTTCAGCACCACTCAAGTTTTT